AAACAAAATTAAATAATTTAATCATTTCTATCCGTTAACAACATACAAGATGTTTTTAAACTTCCCTACTGTTAAATCTATTAGCATAAAAACATTAATTCTACAGTGTGGGTCCTAATACAGCATAATATAATGTTTAGAGTCCACGCTACAGTTTATTAAATTGCTAGACACAGTTTAAGCAATTAAATCATCTCTTTCCGTTATATCCGTGAATAACATTCAATTTGTTTTAAACTTTCATACTATTTACAAATCATTAGCATATAAATAAAAATTATGCATCCTAGGACTTTAATACACCATGAATTAATATTTAGAACCCTCTTAATATCCCAAAATAGTTCAAGATACCAAATTTAACCAAACAGTGCTCAAATCACCTCCGGTACGCATCAAAACAAGAGAGCCTACTCACAAGAATTCAGAGCAGGCTCAAACCACGTTGGAGCCGGCTCCCTAGACCTTGGAGCTGGCTCTATGAAGAGGGGAGCCGGCTCCCTATCACCTAGAGCCGGCTCTGCACAAGAGGGAGCCGGCTCCCCCTTCTATAGAGCCGGCTCTCTCCCTCCCTAAGAGCTCTACACTTCTTCGCTTCGTCTGCTTTGTCTCCGGCCATTTCCAACCCTTCTATTCTACTTAAATATTGATCTTAACTGTCTAAAATACATCCAGTAACATTCCAGTCCTTTATTTAAATCAGTTTGCATCAAGAACAACAACGGAAACAGTTAACGATTCAGTATGCTTTAAAGTCCGACGATGCAATCCAATTTTGCAACAACTATGCCAGTTAAAATTAAACACATGCAGACGAATAATCTAACATATACTAAGCATGCAAGATTCAGTTAATATCTAATTAAAACCCTAGAGATTATCTAGGTATGCACAGAACACAAGTCAAGGGGAGAGAGACAGAATAGAACTTGCCTGTGTGGTTTTGAATCAAAACCTCGTCGCCGTCTTCCTAAGCTTTCTAACGACGTCCGTTCACTGTCAACCTCCTACTGCTCAACCTTCCCTCATCCTAGGTCCGTCCTTTAAGCTATAGTCGAAACCCTAACTTTCCTAACTGTTATCTCTCTAATTCCCTCTCTGTTTCTCTCTATAACACTGTACGTGCATAGGGTTTTCCCAACCCTTTTGAAGACGTATAACAGTATATTTATAGGCACCAATAAAAACCTAGGTCTAATTCTAATTAGAGATGGAAAACCTAATTAACTCCTAATCTAGTCGGCCAATACGTGAGTCACAAAAGACTAAAACCCTAATTTTTCATTACAATTAGACATACTAATTTAATCCAATTAATTCTATTTAAATAACCTACTAAACCATTTAAAATAAATAAAACAAATAATTCAATTAAAGGAAATAAAAATACAATTAAATTAACAATAACACTTTAATCCAATTAAAGAAAAATACAATACAATTAAATTAACAATGAAACAAACAATTCAATTAAAATAAACAATCAATCAATTAATTAAAATAAACAGGCAACCAAACACATAAACAAATAAAAATGCAATAAAAATAAAACTTAAAATGTCGAGACTATCCTTTTAAAATTAGGGGTATTACATCTCTTGTATTGAGCTCGAGTTCCCACCTAACTTCTTCCTCACCATCTTTTTTTTTTTTTTTTTGAAAGGTAAAGTAAATTATATTAAAGGAAAAACAAGGTGGGTTAGCAATAACTAACCTAATACAGTGAGCCTAAGGGCAAACAGAGCCAAAAAGGCCCAAGGAAACAAGTATTCCAAAGAAAGCAAACAGTCCAATCCAAACATAGGCCCCAAGTCCAACCCTGCACAATTCAAATGCCAAAATCGTTATTGGTCAAGGCTGTAATTCTGGTACTGATCGAAGGAGATGAACTCCAACCAAATCATAGTGATTTCAGGGAGCAAGATCAAAAAGCTTCGCTGGAGGTTGTATCATTGACTCAGGTAATTCCCATTTCTCTACAATACATTTTCTGTTGAAAGAATCTGAGATTGTGGATGTTAGCAACTTGGATCAAATAGTTTGTAGGGTTTGATGGAGTAGTGAGTTTGCTGATAGGGCCTTCTTTTGAAAAATCCTACGATTGCATTCATTCCAGACATGATAAACCAGACTCATCTTGTATAATGAGTGACTGTGGAACTCCGAATTGCCTCTCCAATGATATGATGCCAAACAAGTCCATAAAGATGGCTGGATGTAGAACCCACAACGTGCTTGTATAAATAACCATAAAGGCTGGACATAAGGATATTTGAAGAATAGGTGGTTATGGCTTTCCAAGTCAGTGTTGCGAAGAATGCAAATGGTGGAATTGATATGGGATGTACACCTTATGTCCAGAGTGGGCAGTTTGTTTTGTATTGCAACCCATAGGGTAAATGAGTGCTTTGAAATTGAGGGTTTTGTCAAGATTAGGTGAATCCAAGGTAGGGTGGTATGGTGGTTATTGAAATATTTCATGGTATGGGAGATGGAGAAATTTCCAGAAGGGGATGGTAGCCATATTGTTTTATAACTGCAATTGGTTGTAAGTGAAGGGAGTGATGTGGTGCATAGTAGTTGAGGTAGGATACAGGTTAAGGAGTGAAGGAAGGTCTATGAGGTGTTGGAAATGAATATGGATACCATTGTTTTGCTATCAACACCTGAATTGGTGAGTTGTGTAGAGGCCCAAGTTGGCACCAATTGTCAAACCAAAATTTTTTGAAGGGGGGGGGGGGGGGGGATCAAGAATTTTACACCTTCAGTAATCTGAAGGTCAAAAAAAATCTCGGGGGAGGGGGGGGGGGGGGCGGTAAAATATATACATGTAAAACTAAAAAACTAAAAATTTCATGGGTGGCAAGTGCCCCCTTAGTCCTTAATTCCTCTGTTCTTGTATATATATATATATATATATATATATATATATATATATATATATATATATAAGTCATGAATTGAAACTTATGAGAAGGAGATATGTAGCCTCATGAGTGAGCTAATGGATAAAAACTTATGAATTTGGTAGAGTGAACACTGATGGCGAGATGGACTCTCAAACAGTTTGTATGCATGATGTAGTGTCGAATGAACCACGTATATCTTGTGTTTTGTGTGTGATTGTTCTTTATTGTTTTGTATGCGATTTCTCTTTAGTTTTCCCATGTATATCTTGTGTTTTGTGTGTGATTGTTCTTTATTGTTTTGTATGTGATTTCTCTTTAGTTGGATCTTATGTTCCTTATGTCTTTGCTATCCCCAACAAGTGGTATCAGAGCCAATGGTTCGTGTCGGGACGTTTGTTCAAAGAAGTTCTAAAAAACACAAAGAGTCTCAACAAGTGCTTGTAGGTGGAGTCAATCAATTGCTTGTTTAATAACGATCATCAAAAAATCCTAATAGGTTACGTGACATGGAGCTTAAATTGTCAAGGTGGAGCCTTGGAGGTTTTAGAGGTCAAACAACATATGGTGGGACAATATGAGTTTTACAGAAGATCACAAGATTGAAGCTACAATGAATTTTTTTGAATCAATGCAATGGAAACCATGATTGACATAATGGAAATTGAGCCAAGGTGGAGATTGTTAGGATTTATGTCTCAAATTCTATTATGAGGGATATTTTTTTTTTTTTTTTTTTTTTTTTTTTTTTTTTTTTTTTTTTTTAAACTTTTGAGTTATTTTATATGGTAATTTCTTGCAAGGCAATTCGTGGCCCTCTAAGAAATTTCTTCTTAAGCAAATATTGGTCTCTAACGAATTGTAGTCCTTGTCCAACCAAGAATGGTTTTTGAACTCTATTAATAAATACCTAGGTTATAAGTTGAGACTTATGAGAATTGAGAAGGAGATATGTAGCTTCATGGGTAATTTAACGGGCAGAGAGAGTTATGGGTTTGATAGAGTGGACACTAACGGCAAGAGAGAGTCTCGCAGAGTACACAGAGAACTCCAAAGTAAGAGTTTGTGTGCATGATCCAGGGTTGAAACTTCTCTACTATTGAATCTCTCTCTATACAATGAAATCTATTCTTTTTCGTGGAAGTAGCCCATGTTTTGAGTAAACTACGTATATCTTTTGTGTGTGATTTGCTTTTTATTGCTTCCCCAGGGGCCCAACAAAAACGTTATAATGAATTTCGATGTTTCTACTTACATTAAAAAAATCAAATAAAATAACAAAAACAACAACAAAATTAGAGATTATTGCGAATTAGTTTGCTTTGCTTACTGATAAATTCAAAGTATACTATATTTTTCACACTACAACATTTTACAAGATAGGAAATAAAAAAGAAAAAAGAAAAAAAAAAGGGAAATGATATTGTGTTCAATATAATTTGCGCTAAAAACAATACTCGTATCCACATTTATTCTAAAAAGTAGTAAATACACTACATTTTTTAGGGGAATTTTTGTCGACTTGTTAATAAATTAAGGCGGAGTACAAGAGAACAAAAGAAGGAAAACTGGAGCATGTTTGGTTTAGTTTTCTGATAATAGTTTTCTCTTTTCTAAGAAATGAATATAAAAAAATTGTACAAAAACTTGTTTGGTACACAGTTTGTGAGAACTACTTTTTTACAAAAACCTGCTTGGTACACGTGAGAACTACTTTTTTTAAATAAAAAAAAATAAAGAGTCTATTTTCAAATAATTCTCTTACAATTTTCTTAAAAACAATATTCCAAGTGACAAAGCAAGCATGCTATAGATATAACGATCACTCCCATTAATAATGTAAAACAAACATGGAATAGATTACATACACACAGCAGTGTGTGGGCCCGTGATTGGTGGTAGCTGGACCAGCCCACCTCCACAAATCACCGGCCTATATCAAACTCTTAACGGTCCAACCCAGAGTATTGGTCACCCACAATATCCCAACCCAATTTCTGAGTTTTATTCATGTCCTCCTCAGGTGTATGTTCTCCCCAGACAACAACAAATATCGGCCTCTCGTTTTTTTCTAACCATCATAGAATATGTGACGTGCGATTGAGAGTAAAGATAATCTGAACCCAAATCGCAGACAAACGAGAAGGTATTTCACTATTTTGAATGCGGAGTTCCTATTTTCTTGAACTGCGCAGTTTCTCATCTCAGAACCAAAGAGCAACGCGTGCTACCGATAGTTTTTTAGAGAGAGAAAGGAGGGAAGAGAGAGAGAATGAGGGGAACCAAGAGGCCGATCCACGCGGTGACGACATGGTTTCGCCGGCAACCGCCGAAGATGAAGGTATTTGTGGCGGTGCTATCGGGCATGGTGGCTCTGTTGTTTCTTCGAATGGTGGTTCACGATCACGACAAGCTCTTCGTCTTCGCCGAGGCCGTTCACGCCATTGGAATCGCTGTTCTCATTTACAAGCTCACGCAAGAGAAGACATGCGCTGGTAATTTGATTTACATTTCCATGGCTCGTATCATAAAATTGCGATCTTTGCTTAACAAACATTTCTCTCTGAATTGCCCAATTTTTGTGGACTTGAGGAGTTGATTTGGAAAGCTGATGAATATATATATACACACATATAGATCTCTCTTATTCACTCGTTATTTTGCAAATGTTGGATTTGAAAAAGAAAAAAAAGAGTATCTTTTGGATAATTCTTTTTGTTTATGAGATTGATTTTTTGTAATGTTAGCTATCAATAGCTTTCAATATCCAAATAGAGACCTTGTATTGAATACTCACACACATACACATGTGTGCATACATATATAATAAGTAATGGCTCTCTTACACTGGGTAAGAACATAATATATACATACTATTTATGTATATATTGAGAGCTGGAAGTGTATGAGAATGAAATTCAAGATGTCCCCTAATTTTAATTGTTCATGCCCAAAAGGCAACAAATTTATGGTCACTTTAAATTGGAGTAGGAAGTAGCATTTTATTGAAAATTCAATTCATGCAGAACCTGTGAATGGTCTGTTCACCAAATGATGTCCTTCACATTCTCTCTTCCCTAATTCTGGTTTTTTGATGTATTGTTGTGATAATATGTTCTCTTTGTAATTTTTATTGGGTTTCTCTTATTGGTGTTATTTATGCTTTCTTTGGTTGTGTCATTTTTTATATGCTGCAGGAATTTCACTCAAATCACAGGAGCTAACTGCTATGTTTTTAGCTGTTAGACTCTACTGTAGTTTTGTCATGGAATATGATATACATACGTTTCTTGATTTTGCTACACTGGGGACAACTGCCTGGGTCATTTATATGATTCGTTTTAAATTGAAGGCCACTTACATGGATGAAAAAGACAACTTTGCAATTTATTATGTGGTGAGTCTATTTTCATTTTGCCATTCGTGTTGGTTTTCTTCTTCTCGTAAAATTGAATTACAGTGCGAAGTTGTCTAGTATATATTATTCAAGTAATGACATGCAAGCTCTTATAATGTGAACATAATTTTTACTGGAAAATGTCTAGTAAGATGGGTTATTTTTGTATCATGGCACACTTTGATAGGATTTAGAATATTCTTTCTAACAGCTCATCTGTGCCGTTTTCTTTTTAAGGTGATACCATGTGCTCTACTCTCTTTTGCTATTCATCCCTCGACATCACATCATATTTTTAATAGGATTTGTTGGGCCTTCTGTGTTTATCTAGAAGCGGTATCAGTAGTGCCTCAGTTACGTGTCATGCAGAACACAAAGGTAATATGAGAACATTATTTGTCTTCTAGTAATTCAATTTTAAATTTATATTCAAAAAAAAAAAAAATCCCTTTAAGTGACATGTTCTCTATTTTTTTTTTTTCACAGATTGTTGAACCATTCACAGCACATTATGTCTTTGCGTTGGGTGTTTCAAGATTCTTCAGTTGTGCACATTGGATTATCCAGGTATCATATTAATATTCTTTTTATTCCTGAATGTGAAAATACTAAGGCTTTTTGTTTGTAAATCACTGGGGAAAATGTGTATGATACTAGTTGGGAATTTACATACGGATTCACCTATGCTTTTTTTGGAGCGAGCTTTCAAGTACACGGACACAATACGTTTAATTGACTCATTTTTGCACTTAACGCTACATTTATTTTCAATTATCTTAGTTGAGTAGGTCAAGTAGGCCTCCCATTAGATAGGGAAACCAAGATCTTACCCTCTCTATGGACGATAGTTCTACTTCTACCTCCTTATAGGAATACCCTAAAATTCTTTATAGTATCTGTACATTTCATAATCATCATCTCTTGAATATTTTAGTGTATTCTAGACAATAACGTATACTTTTGGAACCCGAGATGGTATGATATATAATTGCAATGCAGATACTACTGAGTTTACAGTCCATGATGGTGCATAATTCTACATATGAATGCCTCTGTTGCGGTCCACGATGTTGCATGCTTCATAATTCTGCACATGAATGCCTAGTGTGCTACTAAGCTATCCTGGTGTCTGCCAAATTTGTTTATATGTGACATGGTGGTCTTAGCTATCCTATCCATAGAATTCCTTCAACAGATATGGATTAATAAATTGGGGGAAATTGTCAATTGAACCCTTTTTCTTTCCATAAGAAAACTTGAAGTGGATATTGTTTTGCTCCTACACGGGAACTATGCATATGAATATATGGTTATTTGTTGATAAACATGGTGGGTTTATATTTCTTTGTTTTATACAGGTATTGGATACTCGGGGACGCGTACTAACTGTTTTGGGTTATGGCTTGTGGCCTTCCATGGTCCTCCTTTCTGAAATTGTTCAAACATTTATTCTTGCTGATTTCTGCTACTACTATGTTCAAAGGTAGGGTATGATCTATTATAGTATTATCGTGCAAAAGGGCATCTATATTCTTGTTTCCTGCCATCAATGCTTAAGGGCTTTTTTTTTTTTTTTTTTTCGGCTGCAGTGTTCTTGGCGGGCAACTTGTGCTACGTCTTCCCTCAGGAGTGGTGTGACTTCAAATATCTTGTAAAGAATTAGCCAAGTTCATCAACAAATTACTTATAACATGGGGATAAGAATTAGATGGTATTTCTCTTAGTCTTATGTCATTTTGGCATTCAAAGGTAATTTGTGCCATTTTCTTATCTTTCATGTAAAGTTGGGATGTTTTTGTGTTGTGGTAGATATATAATCTAACACCAAAGAACATATTTACAAACAGTTTTGAACAAGATTTTATTGTTTAAGAAGTCAGCTCTTTGATGAAGTGGATCCCATGCGTTATTCGCTGATGGGTGTAGCACTCCATATTAATTTTTGTGCATCAATTTTTATTTTGTAGATGGTTCCAGTGTAGATGAAATGGAAACTAATGCAGATTTAGGGTATGTAATAGAAGCATTTATCTTCTCCCCTGTTCTATGGATTCATATCAAATATATTGGGAAATGTTGCCAAACAATTTTTACTAATTTATTTATTATTATTTTTTTTAATAAGGGTAGTGTACTTGAGTAAATTCACGGGTTAGTCATTTTGCTTCCGAATGGAAGGGAGTGATGGCCGGAAAGTAGGGGCCGGTTTGGTTTGCGACTTTAAAAACAGTTTTCAAGCATTGAGTATTTTATGAAAACATGTTTTTTTATAATTGAGTATTTTAGAAAATAATTAAAAAAAAAAAAAAAAAACAAAAAAACAAAAAAAAAACAAACCAAGCAACGTTCTTGTACAATTTTTTTTATTTTGAGTTCACTATTTTTAAAAGTACAAATCAAACCAACCCTTAAGTTTCAAGTAGAGTTGTTAGCTGTAATGATAATGCTTGGATGGTATGTGAAGAGTTATTTCCTAACCTGAGGATACCAAATTTGACATGGGCTTGATACGATCTAGATTGCTGAGAACGAGTCGGGTAAGAGCAGTTGAAATGGAGCAAGTCTTCGCTGAGCGGGCCCAGGTCCAAGAAGTCGGTAGAGAAGCCCGCAGTAGGATGAAAGAGGTTAGGCCCAAACAAAAGGAAAGTAGACAAGGCCAGCCCATCACAGGAAAATTAGTTAGAAAGCTTCAGGAGTGGCTGTAACTATCCATAAATAGACGAAAAGGAAAGGGAAAAAGGTTTGGAAAATGTTTGAAGTGTATAATTTCTCTTTCTAAATTGGAGAAAATTTCATGTATCTGCAATGGCGCCGAATGCCAGACTCTTGCACAAAAAATAAATATATGTCGAGCGACAAGTGGCATTCTAACTGAATGCCAGGCACATAGCAAAGCGAGTGGCAACTGACACTACGAGCCGAACGCCAAACTCCTGCACAAAAAATAAATATATGCCGAGTGGCAAGTGGTATTATAGCCGAGCGCCAGGCACATAGTAGAGCGAGTGGCAGCTGGCACTACAAGCTGAACGCCAGACTCTTGCACAAAAAATAAATATATGTCGAGTGGCAAGTGGCATTCTAGCCGAGTGCTAGGCACATAGCAGAGCGAGTGACAACTGGCACTACGAGCCGAACGTCAGACTCTTGCACAAAAAATAAATATATACCTAGTGGCAAGTGACATTCTAGCCGAGCGCCAGACACATAGCAGAGCGAGTGGCAACTAGCACTACGAGCCAAACGCCAGACTCCTTCACAAAATTGAATACATGCCGAGTGGCAAGTGACACTATTAGTCGAATGCCAAGTACTTAGCAAAGTAAGTGGCAAGTGGCACTATTGGCCGAACGCCAAACACTTGTGAAATGAAAATTAAAAAGAAAAAAAGAAAATATCAAGTTATCATGTCATTCAGGGTTAAAGAATGGAAGTTTTGCAAAAAACAGGTATATCATTCCCTTTTCATTTATCAGAAAACAAGTTCTTGAGTACATGAATTAATGTTTTGGAAGTACATGGATTCTTGAACACTTGTAAAAAATAATAAATAAATAAATAAAATATAATATAATATAAAAAAAACTGCTGCAGAAGTCTACAGAACTTTAGTTGGTAGGTTCCTCTCCTAGCCTAGACTCATTGTCTCCCCTACCATTACCCTCTGGCTTATTGCTGACCTTTCCACCGTTAGTTGCTTCATTATCTCTGGGGGGAGAGTCAAGATGGATGATCCTCTCAGTCAGCGTAAGTCTGTCAGAGGCAACTGATGTGGAAGGGATGATAGTGGTGATAGGAGGGACGTTCAAACGATGAAAGGGTGGAGCAATCCCTGAAGCTGCAATCTCTCTGCATTCAATGAAGATATTTTCAGCAGGGTCACAGGGTAGATCTTAGTAGTTACTTGGTGGACTGATGTTTAGAGAAGCGTCCAGCTCATCAGGACCAGCACAGGTGCTAGATTCCCCCTCAGGGGGAGAACGGTTAATGAAGCCATCTCTGTACCCTTCAGCATACCTGAGAGCACTTGTTCTGGTGAAGTGGGCATGGAGAACTCTCATGCCACCCTCAACTTTGCCAATGATGTTCAGCAAAGAAGAGCGTTCATTAGAGAACTTCTCTTTTGAGTTTGCATGGGTTAACCGTTCAATAATAAGTGTGCGCTGAAGGTCACCCTTCTCAGCCTTCAGCAAATTCCTTTCAGTTAGGGCAACATTTTTCTCAGTCTTCAGGACATCAACTTCATCCTGAAGAGAGTCCCATTCGGGTTTAAAGGCCTCTCGTTCAGCCTTTAGAGCATCCATCTCAGCTGTCAAAGCATCCCTCTTAGCTGTTAGAGCAGTTGTTTCCTTCTCTGACTCATTCAGCTTAACCAAGAGCTCAGAGTTATTGGCCTAAAGCAAGTTCTCTGATTCAACAGATCTCTTAAGACCAGCAGAGAGAGACTTAAGCTTCTTGTTCAGAGCTTCAATGCTCTTCTGGAAGGTAAACATCTCAAATAAAGTCTGCACAAGGGAAAGGATGTTCTGGTCAGTTCAACCATCAAATAATTAAAATGAAAAAGAAATGTATCTCAAGGGGAGAAAGAATTACCTCAACGACAGCTGTTGGGAACCATCGGTACATCTCACTGAAGGTCATCTTGTTCTGGATTTCAAGATCCTTGGGAGTCCAGAAACCCTTGTAAAAAACAAATGAAGTAAGAGGGTCCTGGAATAAAGAATCTGTGGGGCCAATGGTCGAGCCATCCTTATGGCTGAGCAAGGGGCACCATGGGAGAACGGATGTTGTGGAACCAGAGGTTCTGGCAGATTCACCTTCCAGTATGAATAACTAAGGAGGGGGCAAAGGATCAATGATCTTAAAAGAGGTCACCCTGGCCCTCTGTGCTGGTGGGATGTTGCTCTGATCATGACCACCCTCAGGCATTGGCCTTTTGCCCAGGCTCTTCTATGACATACCAGCTCGGACTGGAGGAGATCCTCTATTGTTTTGAGAAGAACCCTCAACATCCTGAGTGTCATCTGAAGAAGTGTCGGCCAGAATGTTAGAGGAATCATAGATCAGTGTAGTGGGTTGAGCCTCAGTAGAGTGATCTACAACTTGAGCCTCAATAGGGATGGACGCAAAGGGCCCAACAATAGAATGATCTGCAACTTGATTTACAATTGGGACAATTATAACTTTTTTCGGAGCTGGGACAGTTGAGGAAGTTTTTTTTTTTTTTTTCGGAAGTTACAGTTGAGGAAGTTGTTGGGGTGACAGGTGCAGCAGAAGGAGTGGGAGCAGAGTGCCTCCTCTTGCTGAAGGATGGAATCTGAATACTCTCCATTGTAGATCCTAAGAGAGATATGTCAGAAAGATTGTCAGAAGTAAGCAAGTCAGTAGCTGAAGGGCTGTTGTTCAGCACTCTCTCCTTTAGGACGTCAAGCCTAGCCCTGCGAACACTGTAAACTAGTTTGTCATGATGTATTTGCAGACATTTACAAAGAAAAGTACAAAAACGGGGAAGGCAATTTTCACAATGGCAGTCAGTGGGATGTTTTTAAGCTTCTTATAGCCAGAGACAGAGCATTCTCCAAAGGTAGTAGGGATAGGGAAGGACTGACCGAACGGAGTTCACCAATTCCCACTAACCCCAATTAGGTTTTGTCTCCAACCCTTTTCAAAAGAGAGTTTGTCCGTACAAATGGATCGTTTTTCAATAGGATATAAGTGAAAGTACTTCTCACTGTGCTTGATTCTGTTAATTCGGTAACAAAGGAGGAGGTCAATAATATCTACATTGAGACCCCTATCACGGTTCAAGAGTAGAAGGATTGAAATTACCCTAAGGAAGTTAGGGTAAACCTGCAGAAGGCAAAGCCCCAATTTGTTGAAGACATAACAGAAAAATAGGTGTAGAGGGAACCTAATTACGTTTAAGTGAATAACAGAGAATAAAATTTCCCAGGATGGAGACCCTTACCAAAGCTCTCATCCAGATTTGTGGGATAAATTCGGAGGGAAACGTCGTTTAGGATGCTATTCTTAGAACGAATGGTGTCCAAATTAAGGGGAGCCATGGAAAGGGGGAAGAATCTTTGGATATAAAAAATTTTCTTTCAAAAAGAATAGTAAGAAAAAGAAACTGACCCTGGGAAATGAGTTCACGAAGTACCCTGTAACAATACAAGAGCCAAATCGCAAAGAAAAACTCGCTGAAAAATGCAGGAGGATGACAGAGGTAATCAGAGAAGACAACGACGGAGGATGAAGGTGGGAGAGATTAAAGGAAGATAGAGATTGAGGGGTTAGGGTTTTTTAAAGAGAAGAAATGGAGGCGACTTAGTGTTCAAAGGGTTAAGGCGAAAGTGGCGCAGCAGATCTCAAGGCATGGATCTTTGGGCGAGCCGTTCGATTCCCCATGTCATCACTTCGAGCCGTCAAATCATGATTGTGTCTTTTCGATAATCTCACCCTAATTAATTAAGGAGAGATTATGGGGGCAGATGAGGATACCAAAAGTGACCTGGGCTTGATACGATCCAGATTGCTGAGAACGGGTCGGGTAAGAGCAACTGAAATGGAGTAAGTCCTTGCTGAGCTGGCCCAGGTCCAGGAGGTCATTAGAGAAGCCCGCAGTAGTATGAAAGGGGTTAGGCCCAAACAAAAGGAGAGTAGACAAGGCCAGCCCATCAAAAGAAAATCAGTTAGAAAGCTTCAGGAGTTGTTGTAACCGTCTATAAATAGACAAAAAGGAGAGGGAAAAAGGGTTGGAAAATGTTTGAAGTGCATAATTTCTCTTTCTAAATTGGGGAAAATTTCATGTATCTTCATTACCATTGTTCATATATCTTTTTCTCACCATTTTTCTGATTATCCAAACAAGAGAAATATTCATTTTTATTTTTTTTCTTCTCGCCATTTTTCTAAGTATCCAATCAAGAGAAATATTGGAGCTCTTGCTGTGACATGCTCCCTCAAATGTTCAAATTTAAACTACTCATTGAAACATTTCAATTCAAAAACCCCCCATATGCGAGCAATTTCATAACACAATATTGTCTCGATTGTTCATGGACTACCTGATCTTCTATAATGGTGGAAAATTTCAAATATGAAAATATTTGTATACTCTAATGGTGGTTGACATGAATTTAAGTTAGCATGTTTGGTGCTACAGTTAATTCAGTCTGAGACAATCATTTATAAATGTGAGTATTCCTCTGAAGTCGAACCAGCTCGAGAATGCTTCTAATAATAAAATGAAACAGAAAGCAGAATTGGCCCAGGAATACCCTTATTTAATTTTGTTAACGAACAATAGTTTGAAATGTTACAATTTTGTGACATGAAATGACGGATCATGTGTCCTCAAGGACATAGTGACGTTGGTAGGGATCCAAAAGGTAAGTTCTTGAGATCTCACTTTCGAACCGCACTCCTGACATGAATAATACGTATGTTGTAGAGTCGATATACGTAATCTAAAAAAAATAAATAAATAAATAAAAAATGATGGATCATGCTAAAGTTTTCAACAGCTTGATTGACAATGTTGCTATATTACAAATTTACAGCTGTCTGCTTAGTTAAACGTATGAATCAACCTAAATATGAAACATTATATGGAGAATGATTTGATAGATAACAACCAGCATTCACACGCACGGATTTGAAGTCGATGTATTGCACGCATTGTATGTAATATCTATCTATATATGTATTATTATTTGTTCAAAGCATTTCCTTTAAATTACAATATGTTTGGTAATATTCAATTAGTGTTTTAAATTTAAAATTAATAAAAATTTAGTTAAAATTTTAAATTATATATATCTTTTAATTTTAAAGTTGAGGAATCAATTCGATACTCCCAACTTAAAATAAAAAAAAAAAAAAAAAAAAACAACACAGCTCAAATTGGTACCTAAGAATTAAATTTGGAGAAGAAATTAGTTTGAATTTCAATTCCAATTCCAATTCCATATAACCCAACATAGCATAAATGGTTTTTTTTTTTTTTTTTTTTTTTTTTTTTTTGAAAATAATTGTACCCTTTTGTGCCAAAGAAAATAGTTAACTAGGATTTAGTGTATCATTTTTTTCTCTCTTTACCAATAAATTAGCATACGCAAATACTTTAACTGAAAAATATTGGGTACTCTAAAAGAATTGAGAAAATACTATCTCAACCAATGAAAAATTATTATTATTTTTATTATAATAGAAATGGAGAGTTTTCATTAGCTGAAGTACTTAGATATTAAGTACTGTATTGAAAATTGAGTTTAATTCGGTGAAATAAATGGCTTATAAACTGTTCAATTAAAGCTTTGATAGGACAATAACGACACATAATATTACTTCTTCATTTCAGCGTCTGTGCAGAATTAAATTTCTCATATCTGATAAATCCTGTCTCTCTCTCCTCTTATAAATAAGGACCCCTACTCTCATAAGTATTTCACAACAAATCTTTACAAAAATCCAAGCATTCAGTACTGCCATGACCATTTCCAAAGCTCTGATTTCTTCACTTCTCCTGTGTCTTCTTTTTCTTCATATAGTTGAAGCTGATCAAATGGTAAAAGTAAGTATATATGTATATATATATATCACTCTTTAACCAGTATAAAACATTGTATTAATATTATTATTATTTTGGTAATGAATATTTTACTGTCTTTCCCATGCTTTTTTTCTTCATAATTTTATTTCTTTCCCCAAACGGAAATCTTTTTCCGCTAACCCAAACAACATCTTATTTGGATTTGCAGATTAGCAGCACTAGTGGTGCAGGGAGTACTCCCCCTGAGAAAATTGGTAGATAATATTTTAATGGTTGTCCAAATTCTTATATATATATATATATGATGGTCATTGTTTGGTTTATATAGTTCAAATTAAACTAAAGTTCCATTTATGTTTTTTTCCTCTCCAGACTGTGGTGCATCTTGCACCACCAGGTGCCAGTTATCGTCGAGGCCGCATCTCTGTAACAGGGCATGTGGGACTTGCTGTGCCCGGTGCAACTGTGTTCCTCCCGGTACTTACGGTAACTATGAGACCTGTCCTTGCTACGCCAACATGACCACCCACGGCAACAGACGCAAGTGTCCTTAAATTTAAATAAAATTAAAATAAGGAAATTAAAAAATAATAATAAAAATAAAAACACTAAGGAATATAAGTGTATCAACCTATATTCAAAACCTACAAATATGGTGTGTGTGTGTATATATATATATATATATATATGTAGATGTTCTAAAGTTTAATGGAATAAAGAAGTTTGTGACTTGTATCTTATTTCTTGTTCATGGGCATTATTAGAAGCAGAGGAAAGGAAAGGAAAGTGAACAGAGATGTTTTGTAACTTTCTGCTTCTTGGTTTGTGAGCTTTATTTGAAAGCAGAGGAAATGAAGTTGTTGATTGTAATTTGTCAAAAATTGATTGATAAATTATTTTTGTTAAATTTTAATTTTTTTTTCTTTGTAGATATTACAATAAAAAATAAAAATAATTTTTAAAAATATTTTACACCCAAACAAACATAGCCTAAATATAAGTAGTTAGATATTTATATTTTGTTTATAGAGCACATAGAATTTGCTTCATGGTGTTAGATAAGAATATTGAGATTTATAATGCAAAAACTAAATAAAAAAATATCTTATTACAAATGGTCTCAGTTACCAATTACCACAGAATGTGTCTTTCTCGCATAGATTTCCTCCACAAATTTCCTCCATGATTAGAAAGATAGCCAAAAGATAGCCAAAGAGTACTTCGCCAATAAAATTGTTGACACCCATTTTGATAATTGGGTTTGGACTTCAATTAGGCTTGATGAACAGTGATACAAAAGAAGATATTGGGCTGAGAGGTACTGGGCTGAAAGCATGTGGTGATAAGTTTGGGCTTTAAAACATTTGTAGCCTACATGGATTAAACAATTAACCTGGGTTTCGGTTGGGATAGTGAAGCAGTTAGAATAAGGTTGGGCTTCATATGGATTATGTTTGGTTTGGATGACGTGGCAGAGGTTATACAAGAACAAAGCTACATGCAAGGGCATTGCAGATAGGATAGAAGATTTTTAAATTTTAAATACATTAGATAAGGGTTATATATTTATCCTGTATTTAAATGGAGTTAAGAATTAGTATTCAGTTAGGATTAGTTTAATTTGAATAATTATTTAATTGTATTATAATACAACTATAATGCTTGTATTTAGGATTTTGTTTTACCATTTATTTTATAAATAAATAGAGAGACATGTTGTACTAGGGGTCCAGCACCTTCAGAATCATTATTATTATTTGCTTGCTTTCTCAAACTTTTCTAAGAATAGCCTCCTTGCTACTTCTTCTTTCTCTCTCTCTATGTCTCTCAATATCTCGTTCTATCTCTCTTTTTCTCTCTCCCAATCCTTCCCTCTATATCTCTTTTTATATCAGTTTCTCCCTTTTTCTACTCTCAAAACGTTATTATAAGACAAGTAGAACTCATTAAGGAGTTTATTTGTTCTCTTCCTCCTATAATCGCCTGAAGTCAACCATCTTTAAGAGACTGTAAGTTGACAATTTACAATTGAACCATATATTTGGAAACATCTTTAGGAATCGGATCTTAGGATCCGATTTTAGCGTCAACATTTTTGGCACGCCCGGTGGGACCCCATCAGGTGAGTAATTATAGTAAATATGCCTCCCAAGTTAAGAGGTTCGAAAGGTGTGACTACAGGTGACAATATTGACGAAGAGAACCAGCAACTCATCGTTGGTGATGATGCTGACTTTTCTATTCCGTCCGACGTTTCTTTGGGTCGGGTACTGGAATCGATTATGCAGAAAATTGATGCCCAACAAGCACACATCAGTGAAGTAAGGTCCCAGGTGGGGGAATCAAATCAAATTTTGGTTTCTCAGATACATGAGATGAGGTCGATGACTGGGGAATTAAATCAAATGATGTACGCTCAAATGGAGAAGATGAATCAGAAGCTCGAAACCAGTATATCGGCTAATCAAAATCGACATGATCAAGCCGAAGCATCTCATATTAATGAGTCCATATTTCTGCATATGACGGCACCATTAATACATATATCCCAAGGGCCTCGAACAAGCATCGTACCGTCAAGTGCAAGACTTGGTATTACAATCGGCAATGTGCCGAATCATACACTCGGCATGCCAATGGGGAATCCACCAATCTTATCAGATCCGTCGGCAGTAAATACTGTGCCGGTGTACCAGCCACCAATGAATGATCATCATAATCAAAATGTGCAACGTCCACATGTGCAGCCGATTCCATCAGTGAAAGATCAACAAGAAGTGTTAGGCAACCTAAACCAAGGTAGGGTTAATCCATTGATACCTCCAGCGGCTACCGGGGGGCAAGTAAATGCCAATCATCAAAGGGAGTGGGTTAATCCATTCATTCCGCGGCACCCAAATGATCCTCTAGGAAGAAATGCAGGGATTGATAAGGCTCAGATTTTGGCTTTAATACAGGACAAAGTAGCACAGGGCCGCAGATGTGCTCGGCCAGTATACAGAAAGCCCTATCCTGATCATGTCGATGCCCATGAGTTGCCTAAAAATTATCGGTATCCCGATTTTTCTATGTACAATGGTGAAGAGAATTTCTCTACGGTGCAGCATATTGCAAGGTTCACCGCACAATATGGAGAAGCAGGTCCTAGCCCTTAGTTAAGGATGAGGTTATTCTCTAGTTCTCTTGCCGGGGCAACGTTTGAATGGTACAGCAATTTACCGGCCAATTCTATTCAGACTTGGGATGAGATGGAGGAGACTTTCCATACCTAATTCTACCGAACAAAGACAGAAGCTACGTTGGCGGACATATCTCGATTATCCCAGTTGCCGAGCGAATCGGTTGAGACTTTTATTGCCAGGTTCAGAAAGGCTAAACTCAAATGCGGAGTAAGTTTGCTAGAGCCATAATGTAATACCCCTAGTTTTCAAAAGGATAAAATGGGGATTTAATTTTGATTTTTATTGCATTTTTTTTATTTTAATTATGTGACTTATGTGTTTTGTTTTCTTAATTGTTATATAGTGAATTGGTTTGTTTAATTGATTAAGTGTGAATTATTTGTTTCAGATTAATTGATTTATTTTAATTGTTTATTGGTTTTAAATTAATTGGTTAATTGAATTGGTGTTTTAAATTAATTATTTATTTATTTTAATTTAATTGGTTTAAACTGACGTGTTTTGTTTATGGCTTATATGGTTTATATTTTAGGGTTATTTTAATTTAAGTTAGGGTTTCATTTATTCATGGTGTAGCCGACTTGTAAATTTAATTGAATTAAACATAGGTTAAATAATAGCCTATATATATAAAACTGTATGGTCTGCTAGGGTTGGAGAAACAAAAACAAAACCCTATTCACGGAATAGTATTTTGAGAGGAAAACAGAGAGGGTTCTTGAGAGAATCTGTGAGGCTAATGGAGGAAGGATAGAGGACGAGCAGAGGAGTTGCTCGTGGGTAAGTCAAGAAGCAACAGAGGAATAGAAGGTTTATCAAAGGAGGAAAACAATCTGGGGAATTCTGAAACGTAGAGACGGCGTAGAGGTTTTAATTCAAAATCTCATAGGCAAGTTTCATTCTGTCTCCTTCCTATAAACTTGTGTTCTGTGCATTCTATATAGTCTCCAGGGATTAATTCAACCTTTAAAACTAATAGTTGATGCATGTTATATTAGACTGTAACCTGTTTTACGTTTAAATAACTGAAATTGGGTTTTTCTCAAATTGTGTTGTTTTTTATATAAACTTCTGTCAATCAAGTTCATAATAGAATTTAAAAAGTTTCTATGATTGTTGGGACTTGTATTGAACCTTAAGAACTTTAAGGAAACTTGGAGCAGAGGAGTGGTCTTCGCCGGAAGCGAAGAAGATAAACAGAGGAAAAGAAAATTGTTTCGGTTGAAGCTTTGTTAATAAATTCATATTGGAATATGTAGGGTTTCTAGGACTTTAGGAACTTGAATAGGACCCTAGGAATGTTAAAAAGATTTGGGATAGGACATTGGGCTTTGCCGGAAGAGCAGACGACAACCGGACGAAGCAGAAACGAAGCAGTGAAGCAGAGAGGGGCTCTCAGGGGTGAGAGCCGGCTCCCGAATGGTGGGAGCCGGCTCCCATGAAGAGAGAGCCGGCTCTCCATGAGGGGGAGCCGGCTCTAGAAGCCTAGGAGCCGGCTCCAATAAAGGGGAGCCGGCTCCCATGGGAAAAAACCCCTACGGGTGTTTTCTGTAATTTTTCTGAAGTTCAGGGGCTTAAAGGTAATTACTGGAAAGTGATGGGGGCTTTAAATGATTAAAATTAACTTGTTAAAGCCTTCAAATAGTTGGTTTATGCTAAGGTGCTAAACCTAAATGCATGTCATAAAACATAAGCTTATAATAAGCCTACTGTCAAGGAAGGAGGAATGCTTGTTTTGCTAAGTTGTTTTGACAACTTAATTTGGACTGACATTGTAATTATTGTTAGAATTTATATCCATGATATATTTAGCATAGTTCAGTTCCAGGAATGTTGGTTATGACGTCATGTACTCGTATCTAATAAGTTGTATATTGTCGAGAGTAGTGGAAGGTTAGTTGCTAGTTTCGTGTTAGCAAATTAAATGAAACTGGTATAAAATACTTTTAAAGTTTCATATGATGTACTTAAACTTTGGAGTGTCATTATATCCGACACAGAATTTATAATGGGGAATTACATAGATGCCATGAGATTTAATTATAGATTTGCATGCCGTAAAGGATTTGGGAGGATGTAAATGCTAGTCATCATTTTAACATTTAAAACGAACTAGTATGGATGTGTTGATTTGGAATTCTAGTATAATGTGCAGTTTAAAATTATGATATTCATTATATTATGTTATGGAAGATAATTGCTGAACTGTCTTAATTTTGGTTCTGTCAATTACATGGAAATGGATGGTTTAAATTGTTTATTCTTATTTTAATAGTTTAAAAGGAGGATCTATGATTATAAATATATACTGGATGCATGATAGGATCTTATAAATATCTGATTTCTATTGTGTTGGTTTCCGGATGGATTTGATGTTCAAACATGTGTGCATCATTGATGGATCATTTGCATTATATGTACCGGTATGGGACGGTGACATATTAGAGATGGATTAGATAAAAAAAAAAGCTAAGTCCTACCCCTTTCATACATATGGAATGGATTAACTCAAACAGTTAACTCCTACATGGATGCATGTCTTGTCAACTAAAACAGTTGAACGACATAATGGATGGTTGTTTTACTTTTCTGTATTAGGAAGAGATTTAAATATATACTTAAGTGCCGTGATACGAGCTTGAGTCTCCTGATCATGGTTAGGGTGCGTGTATCG